AAAGCGACGACAAGATAAATTATACAAGAGACGGAGGAGGGGGGGAGGGAGAGGGGAGGGGAGGGGGAGGGGAGGGGAGGGGGGGAATTTGGATGTTATAACTGTAGACAGGAGAGAGAGTGGAAGAAAAATGTGGATGACAACATTTAACAAACTGTATATACAGTAATAGATAAATGGTCATTATGTATCTAACATATAAAGGGGCTAGCCTCGTAGAAATATTTTTGTTTTCTAGCCTTCGATATACCAGTGTGTGTGTGTATGCATCACATCTACAATAAACTCTAAGTCTATTCTATATGATTGTTACAGAGATGAGCATTTTACATGTGTATAAAATCATATATACACAAACACACACGAGTTTGTGGACAGTTGTGTGGAGTACAGCAAGTCTAATGATCACAAGTTCTCCCTCACCATTCCTAACACACCACGCTAATTCCAGCACCCGGTAGCCACAAACCAAACAAACGCGTATTTACGAGATAAGCTATCTTTGTAATACGTCAATTTCGTAACGTGGTGACCAACGTCAATTTCTCAAAAAATCGTACAATTTTTCAAAATCCCTCATACGGGTTTAGCACACGCAGACGTGTGCTAAACCCGTAGGAGTCATACCGCCTAGAAAATGGGAAGCAATCAGTTTCGATCCACGGAAGGGGAAGACGAGTACAACACAAAAACTGGCGTACGTATGGCAAGGTGGTAAAAAACCAGGAAAATTTCTGAGTTTTGTCATTCGAGGAGAATTTTGCTGGCATGTGTATAATACTGATGTTAATTTCCGGAAACACGAAAGGGAAATTTGAGTTAATGTTTTAACCAAAATAGAAAAAAAAATTGTATACCTCCCTCCAGCTTCGCAAGTGCCAAAGCAGTCTCCTCAGGCACCCCACTATTTTTATCATGCCTCGAATACTATATTACTTTTATGCATCCAGTTACATGACTAGCTTGGTAAACTCAACCATAATAACTGTCATCTCTAAACTTTTTACATGACTGCGAAATGTAGGCTACAGAGTATGTTCATGGGGAAGCGTTGAACCCAGTGTGGTCCTTGGGTGATACAGCCCCTAGGGAATGTGTGGTAAACAGATTTTATCCACGGTAAGAGCTGCAATAAATCACAAAATGAAAATGAACATTTCGGTTCATTCTTGACTTGATAATCGTACAAGGCCTAACGAAACATCGGCCAGATTTCAGTTTGTTGGCTTCTAAATTACAACTTGATTTCTAATCGTAATGTACATAGTTGTAAATAACAAAGGCGTTAAAATTATATATGACAAACCAGAATTCATCGGTTTATAACTACTCACAAATATAAACTAGTATAGTATAATTTTTCTGCCAAATTCGAACTAGCATCTGATTAATATATCAGTAGGGGATCATTACAGCACCTGGGGAATGACAAGTAATAACTTGGAGTCACTTTCGGAGGTCACCGCCCCCGCGGCTCGATTCCGGCTGCTGGCCGAATTAATCAGCCTTCAATGCCCGCCGCCCGCAGTCCAACGCATGTAGCACAACCCGGCTGATCATCAGGAACTGTTTTGAAGAATCTGTAGTGCCCTTTTGAAGATACGTAAAGGTCTATTGGTAATCTCCCTTATGCATGAAAAGGGGTAGCTGTGTTGAATTGTGATCCCTTAATTAACGCTTACTCTCTCACAGTATACTCATCGCTTCCCTGCTTTCACTGGAAGTATCCTTGTGTTCGTAAGCAGTAATTTCGGTAAGTTTGATGCCACTCCCTCCACAGATTATGACAATAACAATAGTTTTATTTCTACAAGTACGTGTACAAGATATACAGGCCTACGTGACATCAATGACATACTACCCTATAGAAAGCCCTTTGTTATGCAGAGCATTTCCGGCAAATTAGATCAATTTTGTCCCCAGGATGCGACCCACACCAGTCGACTAACACCCAGGTATCCATTTTTACTGATAGGCCAACATGGACAACAGGTAGAGGGGAACACTCCCAATGTTTCCACCCTTTGCCGGGAATCGAACCCGGACCCTCACCGTTTGAAGCGAGAGTACAGCTCTAGGGATTCCAAGTAATACCAGTAATTTGGGTGTCTGAGTTTATACGAGCTATTAATTAAAATTCTCTACATTTTCCAGCACAGTAAATTCGCCTTCCTGGAAGGGCTGCTTAAAATGTTGTTTATTGTTTGCTTCAAAATAAGGTGCCTCAATGCTGGTTAAGGGTTCATGATACGAGGAACTTGAGCTACCCCCTCTTTCCTCACGTAGAACCTGATTACCTCTCATTTCCCTGGCGCTGTATAACGCCCTACGGTTTAGCTCTTCCCTGTGAACATAACCTCTTTCGAGGGCTTCCGCTGGACAGGAAGGCGCCAGTGCAGCTCATAACTTATCGGGTACTTGCTCAAGGCTGTTGTTGCCACACAGTACCAGCTTCTCCTGCAGCACTACTAACGACCATCCAGTTTGTTTCGCCGAGAGGCATCTGCTTGTTCTAAACACTCGGCATTACACACACAAAATATGCATTATGACAACAATGTTTAGCCTCAACAATTCGACTTACAAGCTAAAAGCAGTTAGCCTACCTCGTTTCAATATCGTCTTATCTATGGTATAGTGCCACCCCTCAAGAATCCACCCATTAGCAGTGGGCCAAGAAGATTCATCTAAGTATTAATCCCGGAATAATAATAACCCAAAATAACTAAGAAAGTCCAGTAATGGTATATTGCCGCTGAGGTCGCTGGGTCCTCTTCCCCAGTATCTGATTAACAGTTTACTTAATTGTAGGCAAACACGGCAGAGAGGAGAAATGTCTTGTATAGCTAACATTCGTGTACCTATTATTGTAAGCTGATCCTCTCTTGAATGTTAATGTAAATAACTCAGTTTACCTTATTCTTAATATATCTCCTTTAATTGTAAATGATTTTCACATGGTTGTTAGCTGTTTTAACTTTTAAGGTTTAAATAATAAAATATTACAAGGACGACAATGGAAATAAGCTACTGTCTGACCTTTTTGGGTTATCCTAGGTAAACAAGATCATATCACTTACTATTATTATCGAATAAAATTCCTCTCTTAAATCTGGTGGCAAAAGCTCTCGCTTCACACGGTGAGGGTCAGGGTTCGACTCCCGGCGAAGGGGTGGAAACATCGGATGTGTTTCCTTACACCGGATGTCCATGTTCATCCATCAGTATAATGGGTACCTGAGTGTTAGTCGACTTGTGTGGGTCGCATCCTGGGACAAAACTAACCTAATTTGCCCGAAATGCTAGGCCTGTATACCTTGTACATGTACTTGTAGTAAATAAAGATATTTTTATTCTGATAATGACAATTTAGCTGTTCTTCATAACAAGAATCATCTACATAGTACTGCCATTATTTCAGCTAGGCTTGTATACCCTGTACATGTATTTGTAGAAATATTCTTATTAACATTAGCTCAAGAACGCCAAGTCCTCCCACTCCTGGAAGCTCTCACTCTCATGAGTTCTTGCAAGCCCTTTCTTTCACTCCTTCTCGTGCTCCCTTCCTCTCACATTTCTCTGATCTTCTACCCTCTGATCGCATCAAGAAAACTAAACCACAAACAGTGACCCCTATCTAACCTTTGCCCTTCCGACTGATCTTGTCAGAAGCTTTTGTACCAGTGATTATTGCTGAAAGATTATTCTGCTCCCCGAAGAGTAAACGTTTATTAAACTGCATGTTTAAATATCAGTGCTTCAAACATTTCGTCTAGTTTATATTTTGGGGGAATCTCTAAGCTCGTAAGGGTCATACAGAACCTTGGAAATGAGGGGAAATTTAGTTTCATGCAAAAAGGGGAGAGTGGCTACAATTCCTTAGAGCAACAGCCTTACACAAGGTTTAAGGCATCTTTTATGAAAGCATTACATATTTATGGGGAAGCTTTAAGCCCGTAGTTGTCATACAATACATACGGGTATAGGAGGCAATAAGGTTCGACCCAAGGAAGGGGACACGATAAGAGAGATGATTTTGTTCGGATTTTTAACCCTGGAGGGTTAGCCACCCAGGATAACCCAAGAAAGTCAGTGCGTCATCGAGGACTGTCTAACTTATTTCCATTGTGGTCCTCAATGTTGTCCCCCAGGATGCTACCCACACCAATCGACTAACACCCAAGTACCTACTTGCTTGCTAGGTGAACGAGACAACAAGTGTAAGGAAACACGCCCAATCTTTCCACCCTTGCCAGGGATCGAACCATTAACAATGTGTGAAGCAAGAGCGTTGCCTACCAGGCCACGGGCTTGGTAGCAAGTAGGTTCACCTAGCAAGTAGGTACCTGGGTGTTAGTCGACAGGTGAGGGTCCCACCCTGGGGGGACAAGACTGACCCCAATGGAAATAAGAGTCCCCATGATGACGCACTGACTTTCCAAGATTATCCTGGGAGGCTAACCCACTGGGGATGATAATTAGAACAAAATCTAATCTTGACATCAGGTCTAATTCCTTGGATCAAGAGCCCCTCACCGGAATCAGGGAACCTCCACTGAGAGGCATACCTGAGTAGCAACTCAACTGTCAAATATCTTTAAATTCGGCCAAAATGAATGGAAATAAGTCTGCCTGACTTTTTTTGGATTATCCTGGGTAATTTACATATATGTTACTGAGTAACATAACCTGGAGTTTACCTGGAGTGGGTTTCGGGGGATCAACGCCCCCGCGGCTCGGTCTGAGACCAGGCCTCATGGTGGATCAGCGTCTGATCAACCAGGCTGTTACTGCTAGCCGCAGTATATGTAATTATGTACCTGTACCTAAATAACCGTATTTACTAACAGAACCTCTGAAGATATGAATTATTATTATTATTATTATTATTATTATAATCAAAAAGCGCTAAACCACAAGGGCTATACAGCGCTGCTGAAGATTTGAAATCACTCACGTATACTTCTCACATCAAACTTCCGTAAAACAAACTGTCTTACCTTTCAATGAGCCAATATTTTCTCTCTAGACGACGCCTTGAAACAGACAAGAATATCCAACAAGCTAAAGTCTACACGTGCAATGCTTGCCATGACCTACGATAGAATAAATATTACTAGACTATGACGACATCTAGAATACGTGTATTGCATCATGTGTCCAACACCGCCGCTCACTACTCCACTCAACCCTCACTTTACACACACAATTTCCCTCTTGTTACCAGCTATATGACAGTGACAACTGGTGTACTTACGCTTCCTTACTTCATCTGCGTCACTGTCAGCTTCCCACACAAGAAAAATTAAACAAACAGGTCAGGAATACGAAAATTCGTAAAATATCACTAGTGCGTGTTACTCTCTTGTAGCCATAGTTGGGAATGACTTGGATCTTCACTCTCAGATATATCCACCACGTAATACACCCTCACACTTTATTCTCAGTTATTTACCCCTTATACTCACATACAAACACACTATACTAAAATAATAAAGTCTTAAAATAAGTAATACAACCAGTATTTGCATTTTTAGGAGTAAAAATCGATAAGGTGTTTTGGTGTGTGCAGCACGGAGAGGTTGGCAGGCCTGGCGCAGGATGACGAAATGGCTTTGTCTCCACACACTATACATATTTTCTGTTATATTGGCCTTAATATTGGCAGTGGTGGGATATTTCGCAACACTCAACTCCATTTCTTTCCTCCTCACCATATATGACCTCTTTATGCAAAGAAAAAACTGTTATTTTTTCTACAATAAACACTAACAGTACACTTAACCCGTCTAGGGGAGAGGGGTAGCTTGATGCTGGCGATGGGCTACCTTGATACTGGCGATGGACTACGTTGATACTGACGAAGGACTACCTTGATGCTGGCGAAGGACTGTCTTCATGCTGGCGAAGGGCTACCTTGGTGCTGGCGAAGGACTGTCTTGATGCTGGCGAAGGGCTACCTTGATGCTGGCGAAGGATTGTCTTGATGCTGGCGAAAGACTACCTTGATGCTGGCGAAGGACTGCCTTGATGCTGGCGAAGGACTACCTTGATGCTGGCTAAGGACTACATTGATACTGGCGAAGGACTACCTTGATGCAGGCGAAGGACTGTCTTCATGCTGGCGATGGGCTACCTGGAGTTTACCTGGAGAGAGTTCCGGGGGTCAACGCCCCTGCGGCCCGGTCTGTGACCAGGCCTCCTGGTGGATCAGAGCCTGATCAACCAGGCTGTTGCTGCTGGCTGCACGCAAACCAACGTACGAGCCACAGCCCGGCTGATCAGGAACTGACTTTAGGTGCTTGTCCAGTGCCAGCTTGAAGACTGCCAGGGGTCTGTTGGTAATCCCCCTTATGTGTGCTGGGAGGCAGTTGAACAGTCTCGGGCCCCTGACACTTATTGTATGGTCTCTTAACGTGCTAGTGACACCCCTGCTTTTCATTGGGGGGATGGTGCATCGTCTGCCAAGTCTTTTGATTTCGTAGTGAGTGATTTTCGTGTGCAAGTTCGGTACTAGTCCCTCTAGGATTTTCCAGGTGTATATAATCATGTATCTCTCCCTCCTGCGTTCCAGGGAATACAGGTTTAGGAACCTCAAGCGCTCCCAGTAATTGAGGTGTTTTATCTCCGTTATGCGCGCCGTGAAAGTTCTCTGTACATTTTCTAGGTCGGCAATTTCACCTGCCCTGAAAGGTGCTGTTAGTGTGCAGCAATATTCCAGCCTAGATAGAACAAGTGACCTGAAGAGTGTCATCATGGGCTTGGCCTCCCTAGTTTTGAAGGTTCTCATTATCCATCCTGTCATTTTTCTAGCAGATGCGATTGATACAATGTTATGGTCCTTGAAGGTGAGATCCTCCGACATGATCACTCCCAGGTCTTTGACGTTGGTGTTTCGCTCTATTTTGTGGCCAGAATTTGTTTTGTACTCTGATGAAGATTTAATTTCCTCATGTTTACCATATCTGAGTAATTGAAATTTCTCATCGTTGAACTTCATATTGTTTTCTGCAGCCCACTGAAAGATTTGGTTGATGTCCGCCTGGAGCTTTGCAGTGTCTGCAATGGAAGACACTGTCATGCAGATTCGGGTGTCATCTGCAAAGGAAGACACGGTGCTGTGGCTGACATCCTTGTCTATGTCGGATATGAGGATGAGGAACAAGATGGGAGCGAGTACTGTGCCTTGTGGAACAGAGCTTTTCACCGTAGCTGCCTCGGACTTTACTCTGTTGACGACTACTCTCTGTGTTCTGTTAGTGAGGAAATTATAGATCCATCGACCGACTTTTCCTGTTATTCCTTTAGCACGCATTTTGTGCGCTATTACGCCATGGTCACACTTGTCGAAGGCTTTTGCAAAGTCTGTATATATTACATCTGCATCCTGGATACTGGCGAAGGGCTTCCTTGATACTGGCGAAGGACTACGTTGATACTGACGAAGGACTACCTTGATGCTGTCGAAGGAGTGTCTTCATGCTGGCCAAGGGCTACCTTGATGCTGGCGAAGGGCTGTCTTGATGCTGGCGAAGGACTACCTTGATGCTGGCGAAGGACTGTCTTCATGCTGGCGAAAGGCTACCTTGATGCTGGCGAAGGGCTACATTGATGCTGGTGAAGGACTGTCTTGATGCTGGTGAAGGACTGCATTGATGCTGGCGAAGGACTGTCTTGATGCTGGCGAAGGACTACATTGATGCTGGCGAAGGACTACATTGATGCTGGCGAAGGACTACCTTGATACTGGCGAAGGACTGTCGATGCTGGCGAAGGACTACATTGATGCTGGCGAAGGACTGTCTTGATGTTGGCGAAGGACTACATTGATGCTGGCGAAGGACTGTCTTGATGCTGGCGAAGGACTACATTGATGCTGGCGAAGGACTGTCTTGATGCTGGCGAAGGACTACATTGATGCTGGCGAAGGACTACCTTGATACTGGCGAAGGACTGTCTTGATGCTGGCTCGAAGGAGGACTACATTGATGCTGGCGAAGGACTACCTTGATACTGGCGAAGGACTGTCTTGATGCTGGCGAAGGACTACATTGATGCTGGCGATGGACTACATTGATGCTGGCGAAGGACTACATTGATGCTGGTGAAGGACTGTCTTGATGCTGGCGAAGGACTACATTGATGCTGGCGAAGGACTACCTTGATACTGGCGAAGGACTGTCTTGATGCTGGTGAAGGACTACATTGATGCTGGCGAAGGACTGTCTTGATGCTGGCGAAGGACTACATTGATGCTGGCGAAGGACTGTCTTGATGCTGGCGAAGGACTACATTGATGCTGGCGAAGGACTACATTGATGCTGGCAAAGGACTACCTTGATGCTGGCGAAGGACTTCTTGATACTGGCGAAGGACTGTCTTGATGCTGGCGAAGGACTACATTGATGCTGGCAAAGGACTACCTTGATGCTGGCGAAGGACTACCTTGATGCTGGCGAAGGACTACATTGATGCTGGCGATGGACTACATTGATGCTGGCGAAGGACTACCATGATACTGGCGAAGGACTGTCTTGATGCTGGCGAAGGACTACATTGATGCTGGTGAAGGACTACATTGATACTGGCGAAGGACTGTCTTGATGCTGGCGAAGGACTACCTTGATACTGGCGAAGGACTGTCTTGATGCTGGCGAAGGACTACCTTGATACTGGCGAAGGACTGTCTTGATGCTGGCGAAAGACTACATTGATGCTGGCGAAGGACTACATTGATGCTGGCGAAGGACTACCTTGATACTGGCGAAGGACTGTCTTGATGCTGGCGAAGGACTGTCTTGATGCTGGCGAAGGACTACCTTGATACTGGCGAAGGACTGTCTTGATGCTGGCGAAAGACTACATTGATGCTGGCGAAGGACTACATTGATGCTGGCGAAGGACTACCTTGATACTGGCGAAGGACTGTCTTGATGCTGGCGAAGGACTACATTGATGCTGGCGAAGGACTACATTGATGCTGGCGATGGACTACATTGATGGTGGCGAAGGACTGTCTTGATGCTGGCGATGGACTACATTGATGGTGGCGAAGGACTACCTTGATGCTGGCGAAGGACTACCTTGATACTGGCGAAGGACTGTCTTGATGCTGGCGAAGGACTACATTGATGCTGGCGAAGGACTACATTGATGCTGGCGATGGACTACATTGATGGTGGCGAAGGACTGTCTTGATGCTGGCGATGGACTACATTGATGGTGGCGAAGGACTGTCTTGATGCTGGCGAAGGACTACATTGATGCTGGCGAAGGACTGTCTTGATGCTGGCGAAGGACTACATTGATGCTGGCGAAGGACTGTCTTGATGCTGGCGAAGGACTATCTTGATGCTGGCGAAGGACTGATCCTTGATGCTGGCGAAGGACTACCTTGATACTGGCGAAGGACTGTCTTGATGCTGGCGAAGGACTACATTGATGCTGGCGAAGGACTACCTTGATGCTGGCGAAGGACTACCTTGATGCTGGCGAAGGACTACATTGATGCTGGCGAAGGACTGTCTTGATGCTGGCGAAGGACTACATTGATGCTGGCGAAGGACTACCTTGATGCTGGCGAAGGACTACCTTGATACTGGCGAAGGACTGTCTTGATGCTGGCGAAGGACTACATTGATGCTGGCGAAGGACTACCTTGATGCTGGCGAAGGACTACATTGATGCTGGCGATGGACTACATTGATACTGGCGAAGGACTGTCTTGATGCTGGCGAAGGACTACATTGATGCTGGCGAAGGACTACATTGATACTGGCGAAGGACTGTCTTGATGCTGGCGAAGGACTACCTTGATACTGGCGAAGGACTGTCTTGATGCTGGCGAAGGACTACCTTGATACTGGCGAAGGACTACCTTGATACTGGCGAAGGACTGTCTTGATGCTGGCGAAAGACTACATTGATGCTGGCGAAGGACTACATTGGATGCTGGGCGAAGGACTACCTTGATACTGGCGAAGGACTGTCTTGATGCTGGCGAAGGACTGTCTTGATGCTGGCGAAGGACTACCTTGATACTGGCGAAAGACTGTCTTGATGCTGGCGAAAGACTACATTGATGCTGGCGAAGGACTACATTGATGCTGGCGAAGGACTACCTTGATACTGGCGAAGGACTGTCTTGATGCTGGCGAAGGACTGTCTTGATGCTGGCGAAGGACTACCTTGATACTGGCGAAGGACTGTCTTGATGCTGGCGAAGGACTACATTGATGCTGGCGAAGGACTACATTGATGCTGGCGATGGACTACATTGATGGTGGCGAAGGACTGTCTTGATGCTGGCGATGGACTACATTGATGGTGGCGAAGGACTACCTTGATGCTGGCGAAGGACTGTCTTGATG